AAAATAATCTTCGCTTAAATGAGACTTTAGTTTACTTGAGTAAATTCACAAGCTACTAACCCTGCAGTATACAAAGTCAATAAAACTAGCTGCACCTTGTACTTTTCCAGAGTATTCCTACACTCTGGTGCTTTTACTTACATATAGGATCTGAGTACTTGACCCACTTCTAGTCATATGTCGTTATTCAAAACAAAAGCATTAGCAAACTATCATGGTCAACATAAATAAACAATGTGGCAGACAGCTGGTAAAAAAAATGGAAAATTAAAACGCCTCAAGGCAAACGTCTTTGAACTAAATGTAAGATACTTAATGTGTACAGATAGAAACAAAGTTAGATGTTTGCAGGTTTACACGTTACTGTGAGAAACACTGACTGAAATTTGAACCAAACGTTTGTTGTCCAGTTGCTCTCTCAAGCTGGTGTTTACAAAAAAACGTGTTTTTCCACGAGGTACGTGAACGTAGCCATGCGGTGCAGGAGATGCTTGCAGCCGCAGCTCTGCAGCGGAACACAGACAACAATGTGTGGAAGGAAGCTGAACCTCTGAACAACAAGTGACTGATCATGGCCAGAGACGGTGCTCGGTGCCGAGCAACAGACCCTGATCCCGGTTGCCTGACACCGGTAAAGATGCCCTGCAGACAGAAACCATCCGGAGGGGCAGGGGACGCGGAGGGGTCTCTGCGGGAGCTGCCTCGATGGATGCGGCTTTACTTCTACGGGATGCACGGCGTGACTCTGGATGTCCTGCTCTCGTCGCTGCAGGGGTTTTTAAACCACAGAGACCCCAAACTGGTGGGCTTCTCCTCCCCGTATCTGTGCGTCATGCATTCACTGACCCACTTCGCGCTGGAGAAGATCTTCTCACAGAAGAGGTGTTTCCGAGATCGGCCTGTGGTCTTCCATCTGGTTTTCTACCCCTCCATCTACATCGGGCTGCAGATCCTCATCGGGAACATCAACACCCTGACGGAGCAGGTGAGGGTGGTGTCCGGCACGCAGCTGGTGGTGCATTACATCCTGGCTCTGTATTTTGGACTGGTGTTCCACAGAGGGCTGTCAAAACTGAGGTTGCACACCCCCTGCACCCCAGACCCTGCATGCAAACCCAGCCTGGTGGACAGAGGTCATGATCCCCTTCAAGGTCTGCCAGGCGTTGTGCGTTTCCTGTTCTTTGGGATGCACGGCTTTCTGGATGAGGTGGTCTTCACCTCTGTTTTTAACCTGGTGGAGAAGTCTGACCGGACCCTGAGTGGCCACACGTCCCTGTGGTCCTTCCTGATGTACGGCAGCTGCAGCTTCCTGGTGGAGAAGCTCTACTTCCACCTGCACTTCAGGAGAGGCTGGGGCCCTTGGCGGAGGCTCCCCTTCTACGTCTGCTTCATCTACGCCTGGGAGTTCTCCTGGGGCCTGGTCCTCCGGCAGTTCGGAGCCTGCTCCTGGGACTACTCCCACTACCCCTACAACTTCATGGGCCTCATCACGCTGCTGTACCTGCCGGGCTGGGTTGGCATCAGCCTGTATCAGGACGTGCTCTCCAACGCCCTGCTGAGGGTCAAGTGCACCACAGATGTGACCGGTCTGAGCGAGGGCAATGGAGAGGTCAACGGTCAACTAGAGAAAAAAATACTGTAAATGTGTATTTTTTTATGTTTAACTCAAGGGAAAGTCTTGCAGACATTGGACTAACAGAGATTAATAAAGAAAATAGGGACATAGGCTTCAATATTATTCGATATGTCTGGATCCAAAACACAGGTCAAACACAACTAACCCTGAACTGCTCACCTATCTGTTTACATTCAGATGACCTACTGCCATTTTTATCTGTCCGATGTAGAATATAGTTGTAATATTAATATTTTAACAGTTTTCAGGACTTTGGTAGTGTGACTTTTCAGTGACAGACTTGCCATCTTATACATAACATGCATTATGGCAGGTCTAGTTTGATATGTCATTTTTACATTAGCATGCTTTAACTGGTTTTTATATCTGCATGCTAAAAGTAGAAACTAAAATAACATCAGGAAGGTTTACAAATTAAGACATTAGAAAAGCCGTAAGACTCATAAACAACACAATTTGTTTTTAAATGTTAATCTCTTTTTCCTTTTTAATCTAATACCTTTTTTCACTCATCATATGACCCTGGATTGCATGGCAACTATGAGAGTATATGAACCCAGCAGGCCTAATATATGTAGCATGGATACCTGTAGCTAGGATAAGAGGAGCGATGAAGTGAGATTTTAGTGTGAATCTTTTATAAACTAAACGTTACTCTGCTGCAGTGCCTTCCTGTGCAAACGGACTCAAACAAACAAGGCTTGGTGTCCATGAGGCTCCACGTTTTTATATAAAAAGCACCGCAAAATTGTTACTTTAGAAATATTCTAACCTCTAGCATTAATGAGGGTACATTTGTTCCGTTATCAAAACACACCAACATAATGCACATTTAACTACAGCTGTTCTATATTCAACACAAACAAATGCATATTCAATCTAAATTCTTTGTCAGTGTAACATGAACTAAGTGTAGTGCAGACACATTTTAAATCATGAAGTACTTTTTTTTGCTGGTTAAATATTCCTTAAATAAAGCATATTCTGACCTCCACATATGCTTTACAGTGGCTTTATGCCTTAATAAACTATAATCAGTACCTTGCACTGTGACTAAACAAAATGTGGTAAATCTTAGCAAACATGTCTACTCTATACAACTCCCTTTGTTGGGTAAGTAAACATTATTTGGAGTTTGCATAGCGAGCACCTGAACCTGTTTTAATCAGATTTGTATTAGTCATTTAGAAAGACACTCCTTGATCAGTTTCCACTTTTTTGTTACCATTTTCTAAAAGTTTAGATATAAGCTCTTGATTTGCCAGATGCAAAATATTGGAATTGATTTTAAATTAATCTGCTAGGGTTAGATATTTGTATGGGGTTCAGTAACCCTTGTAAAATAAGGTAATGGAGTTTGTTTATTAAATAATCAAATTGCATTTTGTATGCAAATAATTGGAAGGGGTAATTGGTAAACCATACACTTTACTTTATTAATAAAAAGGTGTAAACATGTTTAAAAGTCAGAAATGATAGAAAAAGCACTGAAGGTTAACAGCATTTCAATCAGGAGACACTGTTTTGATGTAAGAATACATATTTATTGCCAGGAATACACAAATCAATGTAGCTGTTTTGGCGATTAGGCCCCGTAGTGCAGGAGTATCATTCGGGAGGGGAAAACTCCGATCCGATGAACGCCCCCCCGGGTAGACACTGGTGGATAGTTGGGTTCGGTCTGAAGGGGAGGGGCTTAGCTTGACCCTGGATTCGGAGGGACAGGAGGTGAAAAGGGGTGGAGGAGGGTTGCATTGACTCACCTGAAATGACAGTTATGACAGACAGTCATTTCAGGTGACTCAACCATAGACTGTATATGGACTCAACGCAACCCTCCTCCACCCCTGAATGACTGACAGAGGGGGGAGAGCAAATTTAAAAGGGTTAGCGGAGCGCTATGATAGGCTTGTGAGAATAGAGTGAAGTGATTGGTTAAGCTGCGAGTGACGCCCCCGATCACTTATTCAGGACAGGAGAGAGAGTAGTAACGTAGCATGAATGAGTAAAGAAAGTCTTCCTGGTTGAACTTGCGCTGTGCTCCATTAGTTTGGCATTATAGTTTTTTTGTCCAACCTGGCAGCTATAGAGGTCCTTAAACATATGCGTTCACTAAACCAGAGTGAAGGACTTTGTAAATCTTTAAGATTTTCATGGCTAACGGATTTTAATTATGTTTTACTTTGTGCTGTGTCACCCACCAATTTAAAAGAAAGACCGCAATGTTTTTAGAAGAGTTGCCTCGCAATGGCAGGTATTGTACGACTTTACTACTGAAATAAATACAAATAAAAATTCCTTTTGCACGACTGGCATTCATTCATTCCTTTACTGTAATGTTAGCAAATAGCATTTACGTTATTCAACAGGGGTTGTAGCCCTTTTTGAACAGTCACTTTCAGAGGCAAGCAACCTCATTTTGAACATATTTGAGGTCAGGCAGGAAACAAGTACACAAACAACATGAGGTAATGTTGGCCTACGCCTGTAGAACACACAAGTCATTTCCTGGTACACGCAAAAAGGGCTTTGTGTTATTTTTCACTACTGCTTCCTTGTTAAGATATGAAAATGAACAAATACAGTAAGAAACCAAGACAGTTCAACAAAAAGGGATGTTTTTCTGATGACCCACTGTTGCATTACACAAAGCCTGCAGTGGTTAAAATATGTTTGCTTTACCAATTATGTATCAACCTCTCATCTCTTTCTCAAAACCACCTTGGAGGTTATCTTTTAACACAAGCAAACAAGTGAACCCAGACTCCCAGAGGACACCATCAACACACCAATGACATACAGTATCTGTTGACAACCCCACAATGGGGATATACAAAAACACTCATTAGCGTTCTAAATCAGAAGTATAGGACTGCTGTGTAAAAGGGTTAAAACACATGTTTACTTTAATTTAGCAGCTTCACAATTTGCCACACCTTCATTAATACAGCGTCTGAAAAATGTACCCTGTCATAGCTAATATGTGGGATGTAAAAGAGGCCTCCTTAGTGATAAACGTAGCTAACAATTCCCTGCTGCCTTTCTTTTAATATGTTCTATGTTTGGCTTTTACAGCACATTTACCATATTTGTGAATGTGTGTTTTCATAACCATGTTTTTAATAGCAGATCACAGCTATTTCAGAAAGAAATCCATGATAAACACACTGTGAACCAGCTGACCAAAGACAAAACAAAGTTAGCTCGGCTATTAGCTGGTCCAAAACAAGCAAATAAGCTAGTTATTTATTTCTCTCAGGGGTTGGAGACTTAAAAAATTGTGAAATTAGATCAAAGCACTACTTACATTCACCCAATGTTTCCAACTGAATGTTAATGTCGCTCAGCATTAGCAGCATCGGAAAGTAGGTAGCTGCTTGCTAACAACAACAGCCAAAACAGCCTGCCAGGATGCTAAAGGTTTAACTAGCTTCTTGTTGAGTTCTTATAAAAAGGCCTAAAAATCTATTAATGTGACTTTAAAGGCCTTGAAAACATCACTTTTCTGACTAGACCTCACAGGTTGAAGTTTGGTCTGGAAAGCTGCACATTTTCTTGATAAGTTACACCTGTTCTTTATTAACCCTAACCCCTAACCCTGCTTTAATAAGGTAATATAAGTGAAAACACCTGTGCAAGGAGTGAGCTAAATCATCTTTTTATGCTAACAACAGCAACACCTTTACCATGAATGTATCCCAATGAACCCCCAATAACTTTTCATTCTCTCAGTCATCACACTCTCTGACCTTCAAGCTCATCGCAGAACCAACAACTTTGTAATTATTTACATATACAGTCAAATCAAATGCAAATACCAAGCAGAGCTGAATACTATTGTTGCAGCTTCTCACTTTATGCTGCATAGTTTTTGTTTGTAGGTTGGAGATTTGGCAATACTGTGCTCTTTGGCAAGACTATGGCACATGTAACATTATGTCAGTGGTCATAATATGAGGGCAAGATGAGGTCAGTACCATAAAAATAACTGATGATGTGACCAGCACTGGATTATGAGAAAACCAGGTCATTTCCAGGTCTGAATGTTTGGTTAAAGAAGTGTGAAAGAACATCAGGTACAACAACAAGCTAAACTTTGAGATTCGTTTGAACATTGTACTTGGTAAAACCGGCTTGTTTTGTGTCCTCCAACATAGCTTTATTCAGAGTGTGAAATTTCTGGTACAGTCCTTGCTTCACACTAAATTTCAGAGCCTTGGCTAGCTCTCTGTTAGTCCTGGGAGAACAGCTCAGTCCTGTGTAGCACTGGCAGCTAAACCCCCTGCTGAAAGCCTTTAAGTCTGAGAGGGAAGGTCTCCCAAGGACAAGGAAGCGCTTCTGAACATGCAAGATCCTGAAATTCTCGGGGTTTAGATGGAGGTAGTGATTTGAGTTGTAGTTCTTTCGGAGACAGCGGCCATTCCCTCGGCACAGGAAGTTGCTGCAGAGCTGGGCGGCTACGGTGACATTGGTGATGTAAGGGTTGAGGGTGGAAGTGAGGTAGGAGGAGAGGGCGGCACAAGACGTCTGCGGAGAAAAGGAACAAGAGAGGAAGAAGGAAAATCTATGAATGATAAGGTTAGTGTTGCAAAATGGGTCAAACAAACAGTTTCTCTCTCGAGTGAAATTAAAAGTCAAGGCTTGTTTAAAGTTAGGTCCAGAACTTAAATAACGTGTTTAAGCCAAATCATGATCTTTTACAAGTAGTTTTGTTGCATTTTTGTTTTTAGTTCACATAACTAACCACATGTTCAAGACCGTAATCCAGATAATAGGTTTATCGCTAATAATAATTGAAAATGTGTCACATGTCGTGTGCCATGAGTTGACACAGCAGATGCCAAACCAATTCTGAATATCTCTACCCCAGACCCATGTGTTTAGCTAGTTCTAAGAGAATAATCAACATTGTGCATAACAACCATAACACCTCTATCAGCTGACGCCAACAGGCAGGAACAGGAAGACAAAACACTGAGAGCACAGCCTGTGCTCATAAGGGCAGTACAAACTGATAAACTGGATCAACACACTTGAAACGGAAGCTTCTAATCTATGTCATAAAAACAGCTGTTGCCAATTGCATTTCCATTTTTTTTAAATCACAAAGAGGTGTTAATATGTGGAGATTATCCTGCTGAAGAAAACATGCTATATGCCAAAATCCAATGGGAAAATCGGATTGCTTTTTGACGAGGGACCCCTTGTAATGCTAACTTCTGGGTCGACCTACAAAAACACATCACCGCTGCACCGCTCTATAGTGAAAGAGAGTTTAAACATCCAGTGAGAGTCACTTTCATCGAGCTAATCCTGGTTTCCCTGCCTTGGATGAACTAACACGTCACGCTGCCAACCAACACCATCCATCAGTCAGTCACAGAGACTCCTCTATCATCTGATTGAACCCATTGGGTCTCCTCTCACAACCTCCCATCAGTTCATGTTCATGTCTTTCAGCAGTCAGTGGGGGGTGCAGGGTGATGTTACCTGGTCATCGTAGTCAGCGCTGGCCCCCCACAGCACGGCACCGGACACCCCCACTGCTGCACTCTCCCCAAGGGTGCTGACCAAGTCTGCCTGCACACAGATGGTTAAATATATGCATTGTTTTATTTGTATATACACATAAATTGCTGCATGCATTCACAAATTAGACAATTATACATGCATGCATATTGTGTTGTTTATTTATGGTTGTTGTGATTAAACATGTTTGTCTTATTTGGAGTTGATTTTTTACTGTATTTTGTCTTTATTTCCACCTTGTGTGAGTCCTGTTTTGAACTCTGACCCTGTTGCTGCTATAAACGCCTGAATTTCCCCAAGGGGATCAATAAAGTTCCATCTTAACTGATCTTATCTTAAATGTGTTTGCCACGATGCTGTCAATA